GCAAGGCCGACCTTCCGACTCCAACAGTTTGCTTTTGGCCTTTTAAGAGTGTTAAGGTCGATGTAATGATGTACTGATTCAATTAATGTGAACAGCCGTCAGTATGCATTACCTGATGGTTTCGACACGTTTCAACAGACGAGATTCAATCTGCCAGGTCACCTGCTCTGAGAAGGCCTGGACTTGGCAGGGGCCAGCATGGCATGGCTTGAAATGATTTCCCTATGCCATAGACAACAAAACATTCCATTTGTTGGTAGATATAACCCACTGAGTTGTTTTGCACATGTGTCCTGTCCTATAATGATTCGTCCTGTATGGACGGAAGACCGAAAGTTGGCCGCAGGAGATGGCTGAAGCCATGGACTCGAAGAGTGTCCTTCTGGCAAGTCTCCCAACTCCGTCAAGTGCTTCGATTGGTACGGTCGACCGGGTAGGATGAAGTGTTTGTTTGATACGGTTTGATATGCCTTGATCGTGTCGTGCCTGGATGCCGACCTCAATTTGCAGATGGCTGGACCGCCAGGTTCCTGCCCTGGTGCTGCGCTGTTTGCGTGCTGCATTAAAGTGCGGTTGCCAAGTATCATATTTTTCACCACCTTTGCAGCGTCCGGGGTCCGAGCCCAGCCTCATGAATCAATTCATTAACCTTGTTTGATCAATTTTTGTTGCAACGATGCGAGTTAAACGTCACTGCTTGTTTTAGTGGAGCATGTTGAAGGTGTCCACAGGGCTACAGCAATGCTTCAGATGCAGTGAGGACCTCATCACAAGCAATGCTCGCCAGTGTTTGCTGCATATTGCTGCTGTACGCAGGTCAAGTCAAGTTGTACTGGCTTTCATCGACTTACGTACGTGATTAGTAAATTACAAGCCTTGGCAGGCACATAGATGATTTGCTTTGATAAGGTGGATTGAGATTTGCGCCGAACTTTAGGGTTATATATATCGTTACGTATACTACAGCATATATATATATACATTTTTTTTTGAGTGATATATACCGTACTGTCTTTGCACATGGCCAAAAAAATATGTTTTGGTTGGATATTGGAAGTTGGGTGGGCCAATCATCAACATGCTAAATTGCAGAATGATGGTTTGATTGGGATACTGAACTCGGGGTAACGTCTAGTGGGGTTCCCTGTCGGTCCTTAGTCCACTCGTCCACTCGCCGAGGCCTTGGCCTCTTTGATTGAACGACTCTTTTCCATTGCCTTAGTTGCAGACAGTCACGTGTTGAACCCAGCTGTAGCTGCATTTGTGCCGATAGTAGTTCTTGCTGTTTGTGTTGCTGTGTTCATGGCTTTTGCAGTTCAGGTTGGCCTTCCATTCCTCCGTGAAGCAGCGCTGCTTCTGCGTAGGCCCACTCCCACTTCCAATGGGGTTACAATGAGAACATAAACCAAGAAAACAAATCAACAAGCAAGTGACAGTATTTGCCGAATGCTGTTTGTCCAATGCTGTGTGAATTGAACAATTATATTGAAGAGTGCATGTTTCGACTATATTCTGAAACTGTCCCGAAGAAACCTTCCAAAAAGCTGCTTGTGGCTTGACTGATTTCAAAGCCACGATGAGGTGAGTGACCACAGGAAGAAACATCGGAGCAAACCTCTCTCCCTCGTGTTGTTGACCTTGTGATTGAGGTGGCATAGGCAGTCTTGAGTTTCTCTTCTCCAGGCACCAACGACTTCATACACTACTAGATCAAGAGGGTGGAATCTTTGGCCTGGGTGGAGTGTCAGATACTACAGTCCCCAGCTAAGTGCTTGATGATGAGTGCTGCGATATGTTCCTGCAATGCATGCTGGTCGTTGAGCATGTATTTAAAAACACATGCTGCATTCTTTGCAATATTTTGCAATATAACACCTTTCAGCACTCTGGAGTGCTTGTCTCCCAAGCTGGTCGCGGTTCTTCCTCGTTTCTGTTTATTAAAAATAGGAACCCCTATTTTTCCGGGAATGTTTTTCAGGTTTTTTCCCGGGAATTATTTTCGCGTTTTTTTTCCCCTACTGCTTCTGCTTTTTGTTTTTGCTTTTCCTTATGCTTTTGCTTCTGCTTTTTGTTTTTGCGTTTCCTTATGCTTTTGCTTTTTGCTTCTGCTTTTGCTTCTGCTTTTTGTTTTTGCTTTTCCTTATGCTTTTGCTTTTGCTTTTTGCTTCTGCTTTTGCTTTTGCTTCTGCTTTTGCTTTTTGCTTTTCCTTCTGCATTTGCTTTTGCTTTTTGCTTTTGCTTTTTGCTTTTCCTTATGCTTTTGCTTTTTGCTTCTGCTTTTGCTTTTGCTTCTGCTTTTGCTTCTGCTGACTATCTTCTTTGCATTGACACTGCCACAAAGTTGGATGATAAGACCTTCACCTTGAGCTTTGACACCCAATTACACCAATCAAGAAACGAAGCAGCCCAGCGCTGTCTATATTTGAGTTGCATTGCGGGGAAGGCGCTGCGCCCTCCCCCGCACTCCCTCCCGCATTCTTTTTAATAGTTGCCACTACCGTCCACCACCCCTACTATTTCCAATACCTCTATCACTCGGACCACCCCGCTACGAGTCTTACCACAGTTACCGCAACTACTATTTTCTTTGCGTTGACGCTGCCAAAAAGGTGGATTTCTACTTTGCTTAGCCCAAAGAAACCCGAAACCACTGAAGCCCAAAGACAACCGCAGAAAGTCCCTATTATAGTTCCTCTCTCCTCCTACTTCTCCTCCGTTAAGTGGATGCCTTTTCCGGAAGAACGCCTAAAGAATCCCTAAAGACAAGAAACCGAGCCCAAAGAAACCAGAAACCAGTGAAGCTAAAGACAACCGCAAAGAAGTCCCTAGTAAGTGGAATACCTTTTCTGTTCCCTCCCTTTGTCACTGTCACGCTGGCTTTGGTGCTTCGTCCCCTGCCCTTTCTGCTACCCCCCCGCAGAAGCAAAAGCAAAAACAGTAGGTTAAAAAAATGAAAAAAAACGGAAAAAAACAATCCTTAAAAAAATATATATATATACACACATGCCAGTCAGAGGCATCCCAGCGTGCCTTGATTTCAGGTGAGTCTCGTGTGGCACTTCCAGGGCCTCTCATGCTCTGTGTCACCTGTTCTCGCACAAGCTGCTCAGGCAAGGGGTGCTTCTGTGAGTGAAAGATTGGTTGGAGCAGAAGTATACTGTACTTGATCTGGATACTGGTTAGGAGTGCAGCCCTTATGAAACTGGTTCCTGCAAGCGCTTCACATGCAACATGCAGAAGAAGCACGACTCATTGTGAGGCGTTGCCCAGCGGAATGAGGAAGCGTGGCTCTGTCATTGCAGACCAGTTTCCCATTCAGGCAGTCGTGCCTGCTGGGTTGTTTGGCGTTTTTCAGACAGAGCTGCTGGCCCTTTTAACGCCGGGTTGACATGGGTCGACGAGAGAAGTGGCACGATGCCCCGAGATGGGTAGTGATGTACAGACCATCGCAGACCCAGGTTGAAGTACTAATATACTGGCTAGTTGAGCGTCATTGATCGGAATTGTTGTGTTTAAGCACCTTCCGGTACTTGCTGGAAGCATTCCTTTGTCCCTACTCAATGCGTGTCTGGTTTTTTGACTAACCTTCGGACTGGACAGGGAGCTGAATAAATTCCTTTTACCTTTTGGTGTCTTCCTCCCGGGCAAAAACGAATGTACAGACTTCTTCAACACTGCAACGTGCCGAGTTTTGCTGTCTTCATTGCAGGATTCTCACGAGTGGCTTGCAGTCGAAGTTCGAAAGCACTGGGCTGCCAGAGCCTTTGGGAGTGTGGAGGCGGTGGGAGGCAAAGCCTCAACAAACCACGCTGAACAGACAGCTGGCTCCTGCCAAGTCTAGCTCAGGTGCAGGATGTTTAGTGATGATATCCAATCAGATAATCTCAACATGTGCCATGCTACGTTTGTTTGTCTCGTATGTTCTGATTCTCCCGACCGTGGATGCATGCATCTCCGTGCATTCAAGCTTCGAAGCTCCTTTGACCTTGCAAGCGCAGAGGCCATGTCTAGTGCCCCCGCTCCAAAGTTGAAAGCAAAGGCTTCGACGAAGCCGGGCGCCGCAGTTTCCAGGCTAGGGCATGCCACAGTGGCACCACATGAACAATTACAGTATAATACAGTATATAGATATCTACCTAATAGACTAATAGATATCAGAATTTAAGCTGATCTTATTGCTCCATCTAGATGATAAACACAATATACAAAATACATAAACATATCGATATATAATATATATATATTTTTGTTCGTGTGTACATGCAAGTAGGTACGCAAGAATATGTCGCATCGATCCTTCTGTATAGATGCGTAAAAAAACCTGCTACTTGGGCCGAGTCGTGAGCTCCAAGGCGCAACCGGAGTTCCTCCCGAGCTTCCCTCTTCATGTCAGAGCTCGAACTCCAGAGCTGGCAAAGCTGAAAAAGATCGTTCAGAGATAGCTCAAGCATGCTCAAGCCACTCAAAACGTTGCTGTATGCTCTTGCCAGCGTATGCCCACTTAAAGGTTCAAAGAAACGAGTTCTTAAGAGACAAATGCTTGCCATTTTTTCTGCATAGTTTGACGACATCAGCAAACAGCCCTGCATTTACTGTAGCATAGCCTGTTCAGCGATTCTGAAGCCCTGGAGCATTCAGTTTCCTGAACGCTTTGAATGTGGAATGAATGCTTCTGTACTGTTGCTGGCTTCTATGACTCAAGCTTTAGAGGGCTGCAGATTCTTACTCATCAGATTAGGTGTGCGCGCCTCTCTTCAAACTGTTCATGTTTTTGGAACAGTAGCTGGGAGCAATGTCGTTTGTCAATAGTTCATTCAGCGATCAAAAATGGTTGTGGAGATATACTGATATACTGTTGCTTTGATTGCTATTGATGTCAGGCATTCCGGAATGGATTAGCCCAGTGGTGGAAACTCTCGCAAATAGCCTGGTGGCTGCCTGCAAGAGTTGCAATACGCTAGAGTAAGCAAAGGGACTGCACGAATGGACATGTTCAAAATAAAGACAGATTTGCCTTTGGCCGGATTCCTTTGGATCCAATCTGCGGGATGGCAACTATACGGCCTCGTCCACGTGCTCCCGGACCACTTGGAACCGGGCGAGAACGTATCAATCGCCAGGAGCAACGACTGCTTGATGAAAGCAACAACACAGCAGAGAGCATGGCATGACGCATCAAGCCTTGTGAAGGGCAATAATTTCTTCCAGCATGCAACATGCACCTATGCCCAATTGTTCATGCTACAAGTTGCCTTGTACTTCCAGGAGCCCATTGTTCGGCGTGGGCGTCTGAATCTGGCTCGCGGCACTTCACTGCCCACGCGGAGCCTTTCCGCACCTCGAGGCAAGCACATCCTGTGGTGGGTTTGGTGTGGTGGACTGATGCCTCCCGGAGGTTTCTTCCAAGCACATGAAGGAGTTTCACACATTCAGGAAATTGTAGAACTGACTGAGCCTTTGAGCTTCACAATCGATTTTGAGATTCATTTGATGTTCTGAAATGGAATTTGGGTGAAACTGATGCCATTCTTGCACTCTTTCGTGCAATGGCAGCAGGGGTTACGCCTGTGCGCTTCACAGCACCCGGCATCCAGCGCGGCACCTCGCGGCGCAATCTTTCCGTCGGGCCGCAGCGGCAGCGCAGGCGCTCTACTTATTGTGGCATGTTTACCCCCTTGAAGACTAACATGGGCCCTGAAAATCAATGGTCAGTAGAGAAATAGCATTTTCCAGGGGCCCATTGTCAGGGTCCATGTTAGTTTCCGGGAGGGTATGTATAGTATATATATATATATATGCAAATCACCTGTATGAAAACCTGTGTTTTCCCTGTGTTTCTCTCCTGCAACGTTTAGACTCTAGACTTTGAACTTTGGACCTTTTTTTGATGCCTCATTTCTTTGTGTATGTGCTCCATGAATACAACAACAACTGCTATGCCTGGCTCTATAGGGGCTGGAACCACGCACCGCAAGAGCCTTCTGAGGACGGATGTCGTGGAAGTTGTACATCTTGATAATGCACACACAACAATATATGTATAATATATACTGTGTATATTATATATATATGTATTCAGCAATCTTGATATTGCTATTTGATTTAGCAAACATTTGCAAACCGTTCGGATGACATCTGGGATGATCCATGTTAGTGCGGGTACCAAGACCTAGGCGACTGCATTCGAGATCAGTAGTGTGCAGGACTGGTGTTTCGCATATTATTTGGCGAATGGCCTGAATGTCAAGGATTTACACCAGAGGTGGCTACAGAGCCTGCGAAAACCAGATCCAAACCGCGAAGAGTGCACAGCACCATGACATGATTAAGGCTATTCTGTTTTTGAGCCAGGCATATGTTGGTTGCTTTTCGGTGGATCATGCTTCACACAGCTCATGCTGCTCAGGTGATTCGTTTCAATGATGATGTGATGTTGCTGAAGGTTGACGAGAAAGATTGCTTTGTTTTTTCCTTCGGATGTTTGGTATGCTGGGGATGCACGCCACAAGAGGTCAATGCTGCTCGCGCGTATGTTGAGAACCACCTGGCAAGACCATTGGAGTCTCCTAAGATTGAAGTGGACTTCTTGAGCATTAGAGGTATCGCTGGAGACCTGCCCATTGCTGCGAAGGCCTGGGAAGAAGTACCGTAATATAGACTGTGCTGTGATAGTGCTGGTGGCGAATTTGTGGAGTACGGAGCCACTTGCAAATCTTGTATCATAAGTAGTGGCAGCGGCAGTAGCACTAGTAGAAGCACCAGTTTGAGACTGTAGGAAAAGGAGGAGTAGCATCACAACTCGAAGTTGCGATAGAACTTGGTTGGATACTACCAATTGGCTACACATGACATAGACTTGAGAACTAAAGCCAGGAATAAGAACATGGAAGAACCATGAAGAACCTTGAAGAACCCTTGTTCGTGGAGCAGTGGCCCCTCCGTGCTTGGTGTGTTGGAGCATGTCACCATCCTCCGACCATGCACCAGGCAGTCGATCGTTTAGCGATTGCATACTCGCTGGCGCAATCCGTGCGACTCAGCTACTGGGAACAAAGGATTGACCTTTGGGTGGCGGCCACCAGGACCATTCCGGAGGACATGGCCCACACAGGTGCGGCAAGCTGTTTTTCGGACCAAAGATAACCAAAGCATGTTTTCAAGACTCAATGCCTCAACTGCAGGTAGGGTATTGCTGAGCAGTCATCGTGTGAGCCAGATGATGGGCGAGCTCTTCGCTCTCAAGAACCAGGCGATGTTGAGGGCTGTATGTCATGCATTGCACGGAAAGTTACGTGTAGCAGTGCGAATTCTTGGTGAGTCCATTTTGATCTTTCGCTTCGCAGGTGAACTTAGAGTTTGACACCTTAGATGGCACTCCGGACGTTTTTTGGGACTATGAAGAGTCCGAGCCCCTGTATCAGCAAACGAGGCGAGTGGTGACTATAGCGCTACAACGCTCAGATGCAATCATGCGTGTTTCGTAGGCTTGCGCTGTTATGGTGTATTGAACATGGCGACTAGAATTTTGGAAATAACAGTTTGTCAAACGAGTTCATGGCATGTTTCAACATCAAGAAATGCTTGATATGACTTGCTCTTGACTCACTCTTGACCCGTTGATTTCTGTTTGGTCCTCATGTATGCACTTGCCAACGTATATAATCCCATCCACCTATTAAAAAACACGCCCCCCCACCCCCTAATAAGGAAACCTCGGTCGCATTCTTTTCTAATAGGGGGTCCCTGAAATCGGAGGGTCCAAAATAGGGTCACCTGGGAAGAGCTTCAAAACCAAAAAGTAACCCTGTAAAATGTTTATCTATATTACTATATAAAATCCTTTATAACACTCGTATCAACAATTCAAAAAACACCTCCAGATCGAAGGCGTCTTCCTTTTCCCCCAAAACAATCTTTATTGGAATAGTGATTCATTAGACTAACAACTAAAGCTTTCGACAGGTGATGTCGCTGTGCCATCCGGTTTTGCGTGACCTGGGTGGAAAGTGCGTTTGCGTGAGTCCAGCCATTGGGGGAAGGAAAGCCTGCTGCTGCAATTAAACACGGCGTGTCATGGTGGATAGACAGGGTGGACAGAGGTGGGCAGTTACGGTTGTTTTTGGAACCTAAAAAACAAAACTCCTCCAAAGTCGGCCATGTTGATAGTTTAGTAGCGGCTTGAAAGGGCGGCAACTTAAAAACAAACATAAACAGTACTTAGAGGTTTCTGACACGACATTCTTTTTTAATAGGGGTACAATTTTAAATAGGTACTCGGGATTATACATGGATATACATGAAAATCCATGTTTGCGGAGATTTGAACACCCCAGGACAGTTTGTTTTGATTGAGATGCAGGCTGGCTACCGTGATAAGGAAAGAGACCCTGAAAGTACAACTAATTATATAGAATCAGCCAAGCAAGTGTCAGAATTTGTTTGAGCAGCCGGCAGGATCCATTTAGATGTGGATCGGCGCATTGACATCGTCAACCAGCGCTTTGAGGCCAGTGTGACGCTGGTAAAGGAATGGGTGGAGGAAGTTTCAACACTGTTGAGGCTGCGTTGCTCCGCAGCTTGTAGCATGCAGATGCATGTTGTTTTCTGGAGACCTTGTCCGGCTTGCAAATGAGGTGTTAGAGGACATGTTTGACGTTCTGCAAGACAAGCTGAACGAGAGGCAAGAGCACAGGCGTGCACGAGAATGAACAGATAAAAAAAAAGGCGCGAATGTAGCCTTTTCATTGTTGGGGGAGCAACCCACAGTTCAATGTGAGCTGGGATCAAGTGCTTGCCCGGAGAGTCGTTGCAGGCTCACATGGATCATTATTTGGCTATGTGCATTGGAGGCGGTTTTTACCGCGTTTAAAGTATTTTGGATTGCTGGCGTGCCATTTGCTCTTCAGATGGATTCTTGGCAGATCGGCGGATGGGTTCATGTTGGTGACCCAGGCGAATCTAAGGAGCTAGGCCATCAATGCTGAACCGATGCCAGATACACTCAGGAGTGTTTTGACAGAGGAATATAACCCGATATGAGTTGATATCATGGATGGTCAGAATTCAAGAATCTGCGGTCTTGGGTCCGGGTTGCTTCATGTTACTGTGACCTAGAGAAATGGCGAAGCGCAACTTATGTGCTTGGGGAGATGTAGATGATCGTAGATGAATGTATATTTAAACTTTTACAATCCCTCATATTGCCTTGGATAACCTCAGGAGCAGCGGCTTGAGAGCGAAATCTTCGGAAGCAATGCCCCAGCAGTTGGTTCCAACACTTCTCAGGCTGGCGTGTTGTTTTTCTATCACAGATGTTCCGCTCCTCCCGCCCGAAAAACCGCGCGTGCTGGGCGCCGCCGGACCTCGACAGATAGAGTGCAAAATGGAATGCCAGAAAGAATGTCCAAAACTATTCCAGATAGAATGTCAATGTATGCCAGGTAGAACGCCACAGTATCAGCCAGATAGAATGCCAGAGTAGATGCCAGATGGAAAGCCAGAAGTAAAGCTAGAATATACCCATAAATTTTGCCGTAACGTATTCCAGATAGATTGGCAGAACTTTTGCCAGATAGAATGCCAAGATTCATGACAAATAGAACGCAGGAAAGAATGCCAGAATGTATGCGAGAAAGGATGTCAGGATATGTGCAAGATAGAGTGCCAGAATATTTGCCAGAAAGAACGCCAAGATGGAATGCCGGCAGAATGTACGCCAGAAAGGATGTCAGAGTATATGCCAGAAAGAATGTAATAGATATTCTGGCTAAAATCCAAAATCTGTGCCAGATAGAAGCCAATTTGTCCCAGACAGAATCAGGAAAGAATGTCAGCAAGATGAAATATCAGAGTATATGCCAGTATATGCCAGATGGAATGCCAGATTCCGTGTCAGAATGCAAAACATGTTCAAGATAGAATGCAAGCCAATGTATGCCAGATAGAACGCCAAAGTATATAGCAGATAGAATGGCAAGATTTTTGCGAGATAGAATGCCAGAATGTATGCAAGGAAAAGTGTCAAAATATATGCCAGATAGAATGACAGATTCTTTGCAAGATAGAAGCCAAGTAGAAAGCCTATATATGCGATACAGATTGCCAGAGTACATGCCTGATAGAATGCCGGAATATATGCCAGATAGAACGCCAGAATTCATGCCCGATAGAATCATGCCAGAATGTTTGCCAGATAGCAAGCTGGAAGTGCAAGATGAACCTTTTTTGATGGCAATGTAACTGTTCATTGGGTGATGTTTTGGACAAACACAAACAGAAACATGAAATAACCTACCTAGAACGATTACACAATATTACCCGTCAGCCCATCAGCAATGCGACAGGGATCATTCACAACTTGTATTTGGGCCTCAGCAGGGTCACCGGGGGCACCGAATCTTGGAGCTGTTGTTCTTTTTTGAGTTAGGACGTGTGTTTCAAAAGTTTGGGACAATGCTACTAATACAAACCACTTTGCTTTGCAGATGGTTTTTCCAGGAGTGTGTTTGATGTTTGTGAGGGCCTATTACAGTATGAGGGGTGTGCCGATTGAATTGTAGAAGACTTAAACCAAGGCCTAGGGGCCTTCGAGTTGAGCCAGACGCGTGTTTTGCCGCGCGTGAAAAACATGTTTTGTAGAGATGTGGTCCACCAGGCCATGCCATCCAGGCCCTCAATGCAGGACATGTGAGAGTTCGATTGAATTCAATTAATTGTATATATATATAACTTACCAACTCCATTCCCCAAAGGTAAAGATTTGCACTGTCATTTGCAAATGGATTTAAGCGCTGTGTTTAAACAGATTGCCAGCTTTGCAGGAGGCGCCCAGGAGGTACTTGCTGCTGGTCCCACTTCTGGGTTCATTGGATTGGGCTGCATGTCAATTGCAGTCGCTTTTGAAGGCTTGCGTTTAGACCCTTTTCTGTTGCGTAGGCGGGCCACGAGCCCCAGGTCATCCTATTGTGTGGAGGCCGTGTAGAAAGCTTAAACATTGATTATATGCTGGCAGCTATGCCAAGCAATTGAGGATTGCGTCGAATAGATGTGTGACCTCGGCCTGAGTCAAGAAGACGAAAGATGATCTTGAATCACCAGAGAAAGAGTCGCCATGGCAGATGAGCGAGCTTGGTTTCGAGCAGATTGTTGAAAGCTGGTGAGTGCTCAGATCATGACATGGCAATGGCTGCAGCAGAAACTTGCAAGCTCAAAGAGTGAAGACTCATCCTATGTCGAGATAGGACCGATAGGATAGGATGCAAGCCGTGGAGATTACCGTAGGATAAAGGGCTGGAGGCGCAGTCATGCAGCCTGTCATTCCTTCAAGTATAGTGGTTAGGGGTCGAAGAGTCAAACAACTTCAGTTGGGTTTTCCAGAGCCTTCCAACCTGAGCCCCAGCAGAGATGAAGAATGCAGGATCGGAAGTTCAAGACTCCTGAGAGAGAGAGAGAGAGGGAGGGAGAGAGAGATCTTCAGATTGGTGAAGAAGTGTCGGATTCGTGTCGGATTTGGCTAAATTTTGGTAAGTTCCACCGCAAATGGCACTGCACATGCAAGTAGAGGCACTGGAAGCATTCAAACATACTTCTACTGGCAAACATAGAAGTGGAACATGGCCCCTGGAAAGACCGTTCTTTACCAAGAGGAGTGCTTCCTCTTCTGTGCGTCGGAGTGTGAAGACCTTAGGAGAACATCGTCATTCCAGACAGCTCGGAGTCTTGCAATGCTGTGTTCGGCTTGGAATTTGTGTTCTACTTGGATTCGGGCAATCACTCCTATCAGCTTGACGAACATTGTGGAAGTTACGCCAAATGCGCTCGCCTTGCTCAAGGTATGCATCATAGAGATCGATGCAGATGGTGCAGCCAGAATCTCAGGACCATGAGATCTAGTTGGATCGCACCGTGTAGCCGCGTAGTCTGAGGTGGGTACCGGCTTCCTCGGAGTCTTCCCGGCACCAGCATGCGTTGCGTTGTGAAACAAGACGATGGACACGGTAAAATTCAATTGATGCACATGGTTCATTTTCAATGGCATACAAACCTGGTTTCCGCCCTTGAAGTATATTTCATTTCATTCAATGTCAATGTTGCAAGTTAAGCCTCGGAAACTGGGAATCTTCAAACCTTCCGGCATCCAGACGTGCAAGATAAGGCCAATAGGACCTAAACAGAATGTCCGCGGCAGGCTCTTTTGCCGGGTCTTTTGTTCCTGGTCACTTGCCATCATGTCATACCCGACGAGGCAGGACCTTCAACTTTGGATTGATGTTTTGAGCAGTGCAACAGCTTCATTTGCTGTGAGGGGCTTTGCCAGCGTGCAAAAGCGAGCCGTTGCTTTGGCTCGTCTCAATCCTGCCAGGCTGCTTGTGCAAGTGCGATTTGCACCTTCGAGGCACGCCATACAGGTAAAGAAATGCCAAGCCCAGTCAAGAACATCTTGCGGCCACTGTTGCACATCCCTTGTTCCCAAGACAACGGAATAATAGGCATAGAAAATCCTCCAGAAAGGGAATGTTTATCGGATGGATATCGGAACATGTGGCATCCACACCAGGCAGATGCTCAGCCATCCGCTAGCATTCTTCTGGAGCCACACTTGGGCTTTTGGACCTCAAAAGTCTTGGATGCTGGGGAGCCCACGGCACCATACGGCACCTCGTTCTTCCAACTACTTATATATTGGTTTCGCTTACAGCACTTCAGACATTATGTTTCCAGCATTGATTGTTCATGTTTGTTCAATAGGTGAGAAAAGGGTGTTTGAAATGTGTTGCGAAGCGTTTTGCCGGCATTTGGTTGTTTGATGTTTGGCATAATGACAGGCTTGCAGAATCGAAGTTGGACTTCGATGCCACTGGCGGCTACATTGAAAAAGACATTGCCCCGCAGCTGCTCTCGGCTCTGACACGTCTCCAGCTGTCGGACCTCAACTTGCTTCAGCCATGGGTCGCCAGCTCATCATGCCTCACTGGTTTGTGTCGCTTCTCTTCGACCTCGCTGTGTTCAGCTTTGTAATTTTGGTTTGTATCCCAGGATCCGGAGCATCCAAAGAGACCATGGAGGCATCTGAACACAGTCCATTTGATTCGTTCTATCCTGTAAGGACAGCGTATCAATTCGACAGAGCTACCATCAGCTCAGAGCTATGGTGCAAATCCTTTGTAACCATGTGATACCTATTCAATCCATATTAATCCCATTGATGCACTGCCAAAACGTCCGCCTTCGTTTGTTCGTCAAAACACGCCGCACGCAGGCATGCCGCCAGGCCAGCTTGAGCGATGTGCGAGAAGCGCTGGCCACCTTCTCGCCTGAGGATGGAATGAAACTGGGTTGACATCCTGTAAGAGGGAGACCACCAACCAATGGATGTTTGTTCATGTTTGGTCTTCCCACGAATCTTTGGGGATTCTTCGATCTCTCTAAAAAGTATCCCGCACCTAACTGCTGATGTGAGCAACCCATTAGATGCTTTCACACTGACACATGTGGGGCCGCTTTCACCAAGATACTGATGTTCCATTTTGTGACCGATGATGTTGTTTGATTTTGTGGCCTGAGAATCCGTGCAGGAGCTGGCAAAGGTGAAGAAGGCCGTTACAGCTGCTTCAGGTCGGCTTTGAAGGATAGAGCGATTTGGATGTGAAGTCCTGTTAGGCTTTTGCAACGGATTTGCATTTTATACAGTACTGCTTGTGTGAACCATCGTTTTATTGATGTGTTATTATACACTCCCGGAGAAAAAACAACATGGGACCCTGAGAATGGCTACCCTGAAAAGACTGTTTTCCTTCTTAGCTGCAGCTGCACCAGTGGGTTCGCTCCCTTTCAGCTGAGCCAGGGGCCACAAAGGCGCCAGAGGCCGAGAAGCCAGCAGAAGCAACGGCAGAGGCGGCAGCCGAAGAGGCTCCAAAAGAAGCCGCAAAGGACCAGGGACGTGGGGACAGAACCATATACAGAACTTATTGTACCTGCACCATCCTGCACCATATATAATGGGAAGCAATCTAAATTGTAAAGGGGCATGTAAGGGGGTTTATATAGGATCCTTTTACTGTATATAAAACGACCTTTTTAAACCGTGTCCAAAACATCTTCGATGAGGTTCGCGAAAGAGCCTTTGTTTCGCGAAAGATTTGTCGAATATTGAAATGTTCACATTACTTCCTTTCTACTGGCATATATGGTAGAAATACACAAGTACAAGGCATTCCTCAGGCAGCTGGTGGGTGGAAGTGTCCCCACATGTCCCTACTGTCACAGACTAACTAACTGACAAGTCAACTTGTCCTTGCGCAGCCCTGAAAGCGGGGCAACGATTTGCATTTGCGTGGAAATCACCAATTACTTTTGTGAAAGGTCCGCACAAGTTCCACAAATGTCGCGTCAAAGTCCCAGTTCCAAACTTGAACCCTCCCCAACATTCCCCTAATTAGATTCATTAGCTCATGTTTGCGCCGGTGGATCCAAAACGGTACGTGCGTTTTGTGTGATCAATGTGCTTTCGCGCTTCGAATGTCGCGAGGGCCATTGTTGGGGGGAAGTGGGGGTGGGGGGTTAGCTTGTTTTGCGTGCATTCGTGCGCATGTGTATGCACCTCACTGTATATTTATGTGTTGTTTTGCCTGCTTCTTTCCACAAGAACGGTCGGCAAGCCAACACCGTGTCATGAAGTAACAACATATAACAAAATAGACCAAGTGGGCCGGCGGCCGCGGCAATCCGTGTCAAACCATCGTATCAAGATACTGGTCCCAAGAAAACAAGTTCAACCGCCATAATGGTGGTAAACAAAACCCAGGAGAACAGTACACCCCAACCAACCGAAACAGGAACATTAGCGCGCAAACGGCCACTACTTCTCGGGGCTTTAAGTAAACACCATGAGAAACACACAGTGAGGAAAATGCGTCGGTGAAAAACGAAACGGGAAAGCAAGGTGAGGCATGTGCCAGTGCCAAGGTATCAAATGTATCAAACGTTTCCGAATGCATGTTTGGTGGCTTGCCACCAAACCCTAATCTCACATGGCCCAGCACTTGTGTATCCTGCAGCTACAGTGGGAAAGTTTGGTGGGTCGCTTTGGATAGCTGCAGGCTTTGTGAAACTCCACCCACCCACCCCCTGTATATATACTGGCCTAGGTGCCAGAATTGGGTAGCAGGTGCCAGCCCACCCATGTGGCTGACTGCAGTGCTACCATTGCAAAAGAGAAGTGCTGGGCCAGTGCTGGGGTTTGGGAGGGCTGCCGAATGCACAAAACCAATTGTGCATTAACTGGAGCGCTGCGGGAAGCTGTGTTGGACACCCGTGTTCCCATTGCAACCACGAGAATTTGGGTGAGGAATGTGACCGTTGGGTTGTTTCAACGACCACATGGACAAGATACATGCTGGAGACTGGAGCCTTGTCAAGCAGTTTCTTGCAATTAGCTTGCCCCACGAGAAAAGTCGCAACAAAAATGTCGTCGCGTGGTTTCCTGCTGGCGGTGGGGTTGGGAGACAAGTTAAACATGTTAAAAGGACCTGCTGCCGAAGACAGGCAAACGCCCGTGCGACGCATGCAAGAGAAAAATTGGTTTAAATCAAAAAACATGGTTTCATTTTCACACAGAAGATGCGATGGTGGAACGTGTTTGACCCGCCGGGATTGTTTTCCTGTAATTCCGACAATTAAAATGTTTGAAATATCCATACAGCAAGGCAGCCGAATGGTGAAAAGACACAGTCAAACTACTAGTAGCAAAAAGCTACTAGGTGGAGGCCATTATATTACAAGTAGAAACAAGAAGCTACCAGTAGCTAGAACGCTAGAACCTACTAGGGCTCGTGGCATCGCTACTAGGAGCAAGGACGCTACTAGGGGCTCCTGGCCGTACTATATACTAGGAGCATTCTTACTACTAGAAACAAGAAGCTACTATGTTTTTAGTTGAGGTGACACGAAGGTCCTTGTTTTTTGTGAGTGTCCCGTGCGCAGGAGCAGGCTGACCTTGACGCGGTGACCCGGTGTGACGTCTTCGGATCCCTTTTTTCCGATGATAAGGGATGTTCATCAAGCTCCGCGCGGATCGGTCCGATATGAGCTGGTTCTAAATGTTGTGAAGTGCGTTTAGTTTTCGGAATTCCCTGAATGTTCGTTGACTCTCCCCGCCACTTGGGTTCCAGGCTGGATTCCCTCACGCTAAGACCCTCTCAGGAAATGCAGCTCAAGTTCCAGGCGGCGTTCAAGCAGATTGATACCAACAAGTCAGGCCATTTTCAGCCATCATGAAAATGTCATTGTCATGTGTCATGGATTTGATGTTTTTTTTTGTTTTTTTAAATGATGCCTGTTACATGTTGCAATTGTTGTCGGCAGACCACTTGAAACGCATAAGCTCCTGCAAAGCAAAACGCCTTAGTCCAAGCTAGTACCTTTGTAATTGTCAACTCATGTCAGGATTCATCGAATGCAACGAGCTGGAAGCCGTGCTGAAGACGCTCGGCGTCACTTTGACCCCTGAACAGGTCAGGTGTGTCTTCAAAGCCGCGGACCTCAACGGCAACTCGGACAGCAGGCAAGGACAGCAGGCACTTGGGGCACGGTTGTGCACAGCTGTTGCCGGCTGTGCCTCTCCGTTGACCAAGCCACAGTCAGTGGACAAGTCCCAAACTTCTTGCACAAGTGCATCGCTACTAGTAGCAAGTGCATGACTACTAGTAGGGTTTTTACTACTAGTAAGTAAGGCACCTTGCTACTAGTAGCTAGGAGCTACTAGTAATTAACATTGGTGTCGAGTGTCGAGAGGGGAGAAGATGAGAAGGCAAGAAGGAACTCGTCCATGACGTTCAGAGGTTCATCATGCACAAAGTTTAAGAAAAGACAGCAGTCGCTCTAAGGTGATGACAAACTGGACATGGAAGAGTACGAGAAACTGGTCAGGAAGGCGATGCCAGGAACAGTGAAGTGAATGCATGTTGTGAGGTGTGAGGCTAGAGAACTTTGGCCCTAGGATTTGCTAGAAGCAAATCTTCGGGACATAAATTGCTGAAAGTCCTGTTGTTTGCGGTCTTGGTGCAACAGGTGAGGGCCTTCAGACTCAATCGGTGACAGCTGGTAGGTAGGCCTGCTAAGAAATCAAAGTGCATAAACTTGAACGCTTATGCGATATGATATAATATGAGTATGAGATTAGTTTTGCTGTACATTTTAATTGGAATTCAATAATGACATGCTGATGGCCAATCACCTGATTGCTTTCACCTTGCATCAGCATGAAGCTATGCTTTGCACACTTGGGTTTTCTGTCCAGATTTGCTTTGTAAACTACATGGTTCAAATCAGTATTCAACTTTTGTTGGTAGAAGGCAGAAGGAGTTTTTGTGCGGGCTGAATGCCAGCCGTGCCCGTTCGGCACGCCTGGTGCGCAGCTCGGGACAAACCCAGATCAACACAGCTTGGCGCGCAGTTCGCAAAGATGTGACTTAGTGCACTCAGTGACAGTCAGATTGCCTGAATCATGGGCAAACCTTTGCTGCAGCTCCAAAATGACTTTGCTTGTTGGGGCCTCGCTGCACTTTCGTGACGTGATGAATAATACGATGCGTCAAGAAGCTTGGTACTCGGCTATCAATAGCTTCTTCACAAGTCAGCCATGTTTTCTTGTGCTTGGCCGAGCTGGCATGTGCACTCAGGTGGCCGTCATTCGGATCGCTTCCTTTGCAGCCTTTACCCTTCCACGATTGAAGCCGCATGTGGAGCCACCTAGTTAGTTGTCAACACTGATGGGCTTTTGGCAGAACTCACGCAAAGTCCCGTAGAGCGTAGGTCACGAACTGTCAGCCACAGCACAAGTTCACTGTAGCTGATTGAGGCAGATGTATTTTTTTGTTTCAAGCCGGGGGGTTAGGCACTAAGCTGAATAATGCAAGCTAGCATGTACGGGGTAAGTACTAAGCTTAAGTAGCTGTTTCGACTTGTCCAACCTTTCAAGGTTTTAGACCTGGACGGTGAGCCAGCGATTGGTGAGGTGTCCAGCTTTTTGAGACAATCAAGAGAGAGAGAGAGAAAACAAATCACAGGTCACACAGTTTGGCAAGGTTTTGCCATTGTCAGCTGTTTGGTTTTCAGTTAGAAGATGTATGCATCAGAATCAACATGTGATATTCAATCACAATGCTACGAGATAACAGGCAGTTTGGCTCAGTTGCAACTTGCCTGAATTTTATGCATGTCTGCTCACCCGGTATATCTCACTACGTCAGCTTACCCTCAATCTTCAGGTTTGTTCCGCACTGCGTCAACATCCCTTCCACTAAATTGAGCCCCTTCCGTCCGTTGTGTGCCATTTGCAAAGTCCTCCTTTTTGCAGAGCACCCGAGGCTTCAGCCGCCAGAAGTTGGCCCACTTTTGCGGCAGAAGTTTGGGAACCAATGGAAAGCAACTCCGAGTGGAGGCTTGGCATGGGAGGGGCCCATGGGCCTTGTGGAATGAAGCTTTCGAACATTGTCGAACTCCGCGCGGACTGTTCTTGCATCCGGTTTCTGGGCGCCCATTTTTTCGGTTCAAGTTACAAACGCCATTGCATGAGGGTTGAATTTCAACGCTGTTGAGCTTTGTGGGAACACCACCTCAAACAACACAAACTTGTGGGAAACTTATGTCGGATAGAGAGCTGCAAGGTGTTTGCTTAATCTTTTCTCCCTTTTGGCATATTCTGGCCAGGTTCAGGACACCTTACCCGAGAAAGGGGTCACCCTGGCTTGTTCCGACCAGCTTGCACGTCCTGCCGGTACCCTGCGGTGCTTGATGCCAGGCTTCTGGGGGTCCAGTCACAGCTTGTGGTCAAGCCGTCCATGCACCCAGAACAGCTCAGCAAAAGATGACTTGCCCTGTCTGGGAGAGATCGTTTCTGCCAGGTCGCAGTGCATGTGGGCCTTTTTCGTCAAACATCAGGCCCAGAGAGTATGCTACGCTGTCCTGGCTGGAGATAGCTAAGTGTTGATAAAGGAGTATATTCTAACGATTTGATGAGTTGCAGGCGTGGAGGCACGAGCATCGCTCTTAAGTGCCCTCAACGATGAAGCCCACAGCTTGAAGCTCATGAGATGCCGTTGAAAGATGAAACTGATTATTAGTTAATATAACTGTAGTTATATATTTATATATAGACACATAATACAGTATGCGTTTTTTTCAATCATGATCCCCTTGGGTTGGTGGTTTGCCAATGTGAGAAAGGCGTCAATCATGTCAATGTACAGAAATATCACTGTTTGAAAGTGTTGATTTCCAATTTCCACTGCATAAATATTGACTCTTGAAGGTGGAACTCTTTCTGGTGCGCTGCGGCCAAAGCAGCCGTTGCCATCACAATTGCGCGGAATCTTAGTCGTTCACTCGACCCATCTCCAACACATTGTTGGGACGACAGGGGGGTTGGTTGTCGTGACCGGGGATCAAGGACCATTCACGGCCGGCGAGGGACGAACGATATCATCAACGGCGTTTATCAGGTGTGGCTTTGGCTTCCTTGGCCGTCTCACAGTGACATGTAGGAATTGACGTGCAGGTTTGTGAGGACAAGGAATGCGGCCAGAACATTTGGGTCCAACTGGCTTGTGCGGTCAAGTGCGAGCTGGAGGATGCATCAAAACTAGACAAGTTAACAGATTCACCGCCGCCAAGGGCTCGGCTCTAGTTTATATTCATCAGACATCAGAAACTTGCCTTTTGAAATCTTCAGGACTCTCGGTGGTTGTTGCATTTATGAAGCATCATTGCACAAACATTTCCATGAAACAACGCAAATAGTAATTTAGACCGTATCAGTATCAGTTGCAATGGTTCCAGCAAGCAGGCGGGCTGCTTTGTCATCAGAAGCCTCAAAAGCTAGGGTGTGACGTAAAATCTTCAGACACCGTATTAAGTTTTAAGGTGATTGAGATGTAATATGAGTCAAGCGTTTGTGCAGCCATTAATAAACAATTGCCAGTTTGTTTGAGACTGCGCATGCGGCACTCTTTGTAAGCTAATCCTTAGAGCTCGCAGATTCTGCTCCCCGTTGCGGCTTACAGCTTCTAGGGCCAAAGCGTGCCTGTAGTACACAATGGGTACTAGCTGCTGCCATGCTGGCCACTGCTACACCGCAACTTGGTGGCAAATGCTATTATCGTAAAGTTTGTACACATTTTGCGACAAGAATGTCATGGGCTACTTTGCTGATACTACTTTGGGGAATCTCACAATGGCATTGTAAGTTCACAAAGTCACTAAGCTAAGCTTTTGAGTTCTCGATCGGGAAGAAGACGGACATTCAGAGATCGGCATCATGTGGCATCACAACGTAGAGGGCCTATGATGACCTTAGATGACCTACACTATGACCTACGTTGTGACATGGCATAGAGTGAGACCTGCCTACATTGTAAGAACAAATGAGATTTAATGATGTGTAACATACTCATGCTTTAAAGATCATTTCAAGCGGCTAGCGGGTTCTCATGAAATCTCAGTCATAGCCAAGGAATCATGGAGATATGATGATGATACGCCAAGCACTCTCTCACCACATGCGGTGATGTCACCGCAGTGGGCAAGAATGTCTCACCTTGTCCCTCACGATCCCGAGCATGAGCTTGAGTGGTCAATCATCGCAGATAGCATTGATGAAGATGAGCTTCGCCGATTGCGAGAACTGCACTCGATCGTGGAAGATTGCGATTTGCATCCAGCTTGCCAACGCAAGCCGCTTCATCGCCAGGCTCAAACATTGCTGCGATACTTGCGGGGACGCGATGGAAATGTTTGTAAGGCAGAAAAGATGTTCCGGGAGATGCTGGATTGGCGAGATCGCTTTGATGTTGAGAACAAGGTTCACGCTTGGCGGCGAGAGCTGGAGCGAGGCCGAACCCGGCGAGCGCGACTTTGCAAGGTTTATGGTGTAGAGGAGCAAATGTGCAATGACAAATACGGCATTCCTGTGAGGCTTTTCAGACTTTCCGTGGCAGATACGGCAGGTCTGATTCGTGAGTTTGGAGTCGAGGCTGTCTTGGTTGACAGCCTTTCCAAGCTGGAATGGACCCATGAGCAAGTCCGGAAGGCCATGTTCAAGCACCAGAAGCTGATCAGGGGCCAAGTTCAAATTATTGATGTTGGAGATTATGGAGAAGTTCCTGATTGGACAGGACGAATGTGGAACAACCTGCGTTTGGGGCCTGATATTTACAAGGTTTTTGATGGGAACTACCCAGAGACTGTTCGGAAGGTCTTCATCGTCCGCGCGAGTTCTTTGGTTCACAAGGGCTTTATGCTGATTCAGGGCTTGCTGCCTCAACGCACAAAGCGGAAGCTAAAGCTCTACGGCCCCAAGGTGTGCAGTAAAAACAGTTTTGTTTTGTTGATGTCATTAGCTGCAACAACATACTTTGAAAACAAGCTAATTCTCCCCGTGCTGGCAATTCCGAGTCTCCATTTGTCTGAGTGAGCAGGCTGACGAGGGCACCCAAACTATTTACTGTTGACCTTTGATTGATTAATACATGTACAGTCCATTTTTAAAATTCTTAGGAAACCCTAAATAAAGTTCATCCCAGGTTCCAAGAAAGAATTATGTATATAATAAAAGGAAACGACACCTTACTAAAACAAATATTCAAAGTATTTTAATAATCTAAAAACAATAATAAATAAACACGTGCTAACTCTATTTCGGGTCCCTTTATTAATCAGGGCGCAACTTGGCTAACTTTATTCCGGGTCCCTTTATTAATCATTGGTCAACATTATTTGATACATTTTGACTTGGACTATTTTCGCATTGCTTTGCGTATTTACTTGTGACACAATCGTTAGTAGCCTGTGGTATGAAGCGAGTGCTTTATACTGTGGATCATGAACAGGCCGACACTGCCAAACAACAGTCACTAGATGTGGGGCAGCATTTGCGATGTGTGCTTTTCATCCAACTCGAAGTGGCCCCAAAAGAACGTACAAACTGCTCAGGTGCTTACCTCATCCTGCATATATATATATATATACACCCTCAACTTAAAACGTCTCGAGTAAACTTGTGCTTTTACCCACGTCGAAGTTTACTCAAGACACTTCGTCTCGCCTAAGTTTACCCTGTGCTCAGTTTGGCTGTTTCTTAACCCGTTAAAAAAATAAACCTTTCAACATCAGTCCAGGACCTTAGTTTCAACAATATTATTTCAGAAACTCAGAGATGATACATAAAATCTCAGAGACATACTCAGTCAGTTGCATTTCATCAGCCTCGACTTTGGTGTTTGTTTGGTGTGCCACCCCAAACCTCTTCAATACTCTACATGTAATGTAATGTCAAAAATGATCACACATGTCACCAAACACAAAAACATGAAACATAGGGTCCAATTTCACGGGTAAACTTGTGCATTCACGGGCAAACTTGTGCATTCACGCTACTTCACGCCTATTTCACGCTACCCCTTTTTTTCATGTGTCCAAGTGCTCCATGATTTTCAATGAGATCTTCATAAAGCCTCATCCTTTCCGGTGTGGGTATGACAATATATTCGTTCAGTCAAGTGAAATCTCAGATATTAGATCAAAAGTTATCATTTTCGACATAAGACTTGCATTGATTCCAACATGTCTGAAACGACATCCACAAAATTGTGGTTATTCCACCACAGATCTATTTTGAGCCATTCACGCTTGGTTAAACTTGTGCATAGCAGAACGTACACGTTTACTTGGTTAAACTTGTGCATCGATAACGTCCAAGTTAAACTTAGCCGTTGAAGCCTAGGGTGTATATATATATATAGCATTTCTTTATTGAACTTCTTGTGGTCCGTCCGATTTGGCAGCTTCCGGCTTTCGCACTGTCATTGGCCAGGCAGAGGAGTGGGTTTCAGAGCTTTGCTTGGAGCTACCTGACACTCATGAACTACCAGAGTTCCTGTTGAATGACAGCACCGGGCCCAGCTGTGGTGATCGCACGTGGTGGGCGTATATTATAGCTGTAGAGCATGTCATCGAGCACGTTGACATCTATTGCCAGAATATTTATTTAATGTATGATAGTATGATACGTATTATATATATATTTATTTATTTACATGTGTGGATTCTATTTTTCATGTGTTCGTTTGGCCAATGATGCTGCTTGGGCATCGTGCCCGCCGAGGTGAGCACGCCATCCGCTCGGCCAAGCCGAAAGGTGGCATTGTGCCCGAGGGCATTGCAGGGCCGAACCAGGGCAGATTTGAGGAGGAGGACGGAACGTCCCCAGTGACAACATGCAGTACACCTGCAAAGTTGACACCAACATCTGGCAAGAAGCAGATCGAGGTGACTAGGGATTTTCTAGGCAGTTTGTGTCAGATATTGGTAGCAGCAGCTGCTGCACTTATGCTGACCATTCTGAGAGGCCGTTTTATGCAAGACACTCATTGATGGCCATTCAACCAGATTGGGCCGTCCAATCCAAACCTGTTACAACTAGGTTGCTTTCATAGGCGGGATGCCAGGCCGTGGGTGATAAAGATTCGATGACTTTTCGTCCTCTTCCTTTCTCTCAGGCTCATTCATGATGTATTCTATATCCAGTTGTTTTAGCTGAACTATCACGGGGGTTGTTACCCATTCCTAGCAAAAGACTCAAGCTTGGGGTCTCTCCACCATGTCCGAAGTTTAAATGCAAAAATTCAGCAGCATTTTCAACTTCGTGCGCTTGGCCTGCTGAGCCACTTAATCGCATGCATCACCTTGGCATTGATGTGTGGAAGCACTCAGATGCATGCAGATTTACCTTTGAGGTATCTAGCTTTTGAGCTACATCATGCCAAATTTGCTCCAAACAAGCATGAAATAGAGCCTTGCAGGATAGTCTTGCACAGGGTGTGACTTGTAAAGTGAATCCAAATGGAGACCTCACCGACTCAATGTCCAAGGCCCTCCAAAAAAAGCTGCGTGAAATGGTAGAGTGACGGAGTGGGCGCACGGTATGCTTCTTTAGCAACGCCGGGACGATACGTGCTTGTGCTGGTGGGCTAGTTGCCAAGTTTGTTCTGCCACCAGGGCTTGGACTTCATCGTCAACAATCCAGATGAATGAGACTGCATGAAACGGGAAGCACACGGTAGCAATTTGTTTGGGAGTGTGACTTGACGGCGCTGCATCAAGAATGTGTCATGCGTGTGTGTATCATTGGTGGCGTGTACTCGCGAGCGATTGCCAAGAGAGTTAGCCAGCTTGTGGAGGAGAGCAGCAAAATGATATGCAGCATAGCCTAAGCTTTGTGACTTAACGGGGAAATGCAACACTGACGTACTACACGTGCACATATTATTATGCATGGCTGCGATGTATACAGCATACAGGGTGCGACTTCATATGTTGCACCTGGCAATGAGCTGCCAAAGTCAAGTGTCGGACAGCGTTGCTGTGCTTGGCGATATTCATGTCATGCCAGGTGCGCATCTCTCCAGACCAGTATGAAGTCTTGGGCCCTAAAGTTGAATGATTGGAGTCGGGGTTATGATTGGAGTCCGGGTTCCGACTTCAATTGTGCAATTTTTTTGTTAATTTAACACAGTTTAAGAATCATGTTATATTTCTTTGTTACTGTTCTTGTCTTTGGAATCAGGATGAAGATCATGCGCACTTCAGCAGCACCAAATCTCATCAAAGATTAGGCCACGATGCAAGCTCGACCAAGTGGTTTGATCCTATACAAAGGGTCCCGCAGCCAAGAACGAGCCTTAGAGCAGCTCTACTTTGGTTGACATTGACACTGTTTCATTACTCCTTGTGAGATTGAACATTGCATTTGAGGGCCTTCTTGTTCAGAGAGCTCCAGAACTGCCTGGTTTCTAGTGTAAAAGCAACAGTTTGTGGCCTTTTCGCAATCATTTCAGGCGTGGACTGTGGCAACAAGACTTGGAGACGGCTTGCTCCGAAGTGAAGGCACTTGACAAGAAATAAGTTGCACTGAAGAATGAAAACTGAACAGATCAATCCGTGACTTTGGGAATTTATGTATTGCTACTGCTTTTCCAGGTGGACTGGGTGGTATTCTTGCACGTCGATTGAAGCTTGAAGATGGTGATGATCCAACAGAGGCACTCACTGCTTTCTATTTCTCTATCATATGTCCTTTGCCTAGCAGCAATCCGAGATAGACTGTTGCCACACACACACACACGCATACGCACTCTCCACACACACTCTAATGGATCCGGCTATTATTTGCTATTCATGACTTACAGCTCCATATAACATAATATGTAACATAAAGTATAAAAAATTATATATACATTACTAGGGTGAAATGACAAAGGAGTTGTGAAAGAAGAAGACCTCGAAATTAATGCGGCTAAGTCATGAGGTTGTTGTTCTGCGGCTAAGTCAAGTTGTATGTCATCTCGGGCCACTTGGCCTAAGTCATTTTACCCCAGTATATATAGATGTATAAATATATATATATATTTATATATATATATACATGCATGCATATATATATATTCTATATATATATGCATGCATTGCTAAAATTCTATTCATGGATTCCTCGGAGGCTAAGCCAAACTCCCTTGGATCTTTCTGCAGGTATGTGTGGGCGATGTGGCCAATTGGCATGTGGCAAGTGGAGCAGCTGCAAGCTTTGAATTGAAGAATGTGATCTTGCTTCTAAGCTCGTTACAATTCTTGTTTGTCAGTTTTCATTCGTACTGATGTCATGGCTCATGCTATCGAACTTCGTTCTTGGAGCCATGTCCGCAGCCGTCGCTTGAGCATTCTCCTTTTAACACCCGAAGCTGTGCGCGCAAGCCGAGGCTGGAGTTCTATTGTAATGCCTATAGCATGGAACACAGCACATCCGTCCCTACGAGGCGAAGCCTGCGCCGCAGTTATTGGGCACATGCTGTACTTCCTGCTGGTATGCTTTCTTTTGCTGTCACCACTACTGCCCCTTGCGCTGCAAAAGGGTATTAGTCCAAAACGAAGAAGCGAACTGTCAGGCTGGGGTTCTATGCCGAGAGCAGAAGTTTGCAAGCATCACTTTTTCGGCCAAGGTATTTGACGTTGAACTCCTTGATTCCCAGGCAGCCATTGCTTGCACAAGCCTTGATTTTTTCAGCTTAGTTTTTTTAGGGTGCACACCAGCACAGGCCAAGCAACTTAGAGAGTATCTCATGTCACTGGTGAGTATTGAGTACTTGCCAGGCTTTGGCTCTTCCGTGCACACCCAAAAGCAAGAGTGATCGATTCACAAGCTGCAATCAACCAGATCAAGCCTTGTAGTGGCCCCTTTCAGCCGTAATCGTTTGTCCCGCGAGACCTGGGGACCCGGGGTTCAGTGAGACACTTCTTCAGAATTTTGTGTTTGCATTCATTCCCATGTTAATCGTGTTACCATGTTAGCTCCAGTTTATGTTCTTTTCTCCCCGCCTGCCACGGTCAAGTGGGTCAGGGGGAGGGATGGCCGGGGGGTAAGAAACTTCGTTGTCGCAGCACCCCTGGAAGCCCATGGGACAAACCCACTCTTCGGCAGATTCGTGCAACAATATGTTAGACTGCACGCTCAGATTGATAATCAATGACTATAGTGACTATAGAATATAGAATATATATATATATAATATTAATAAAGAAAGCTTCCAGTGGTAACGCCTGAGAAATTGAAACCCAAAAATATAGTGATCATGGTTTGACACACAGCCAATAAAAATTGAAGTTTCAACACTCAGGAAATGCAAACACCTATGCGACTGAATTTTGAGGAGGAAAACACATTTGACCCGCGCGAAGCCACTTCCAAATCCACGAATCAAATTTGAAAAAACAAATATAGAAACAGAGGCAGGTTCAAAGCTTTTTGCGAGGCCCTAGGGTCATTTGTTGGCCTGCTTGCATTAAGAACATTTTCTGTGCCTGATGCCAATAGCCGACTGTGCTCCACCAGGAGAGTTCTTGGTACTTTCTGGGAGGGTCGCGGGCAGTTTTCCTCATGTTGTGCTTATCAAAAGTCATGTTGTGCTGAACCAGAGCAAGTCTCCAGCGTTTTGGACGACCAAGTCATGCCTTGCCGTTTTCAGGCTCCTGGGCCCACAAGACTTGAAGGCTCGATATGGTGCCAGCTGGGCTTTAGTGACAGGTGGCCTGGCTGAAACAACCACTTGGCGCAAGTGTCGTTGCGGTAGGCAGGCAGAAGTGGGGGCACATTCTGGCTGAGTGCATGCTTCTAGTTGGTTTGATGTTGCGTCATAGCTGAGGGGGGTCTTCTGGAATTGGCAAGGCGGGGAATGTCCGTTATGCCGGCGGTTTCAGTGCTGAAACACTGCCGGAATGCAAGGAGCTTGCCAGGAAGCTTTTGTCCCAGGGGCTGAATGTGATCATCGTTGCACGTCATAGGCTCAGACTCAGGTGTGTGAGCACTTTGATTTGATTCACCAGTGGGCTGTTGGCTGGGTCGGACCTTTTTTGCAGGTAACGAGCCGGTCTTTGATGAGACCCTCAAGGATGACATTTAGAATGTCATGCTGGAAATAACGGTCGCAAGGTTGGAATATCTTTGAATGATGGTCAGAATTCCAGTAATTACTGTAGGTCCATGGAGGAATGCTGCGCACTCCGATTTCCCGATTTCCAAGTGTCAGTTTCGGCCTAGGAGCTCAAAGCGCAGTTTGCGAAGCAGGAAGTGCGAGCTGTTAAGGCATACGGCATGGGTTTGTGTTTGCGTTGAGTTGGAGCTCAAATCAACTACTCTGCACAGACGGTGGGTGTGGATCAATCAAAGGCTACTAAGATATATAATACTAAACTGTCAACATCCATGTTTACTGGTTGCTCACATGGCTGCGGGCCAAAAGAAAAAAATCATGTGTAATGTTTAAACATATGCAACATAACATGAGTTAAAATGAGCGCCTAGCCAAAATACCGCCAAGTAGGATGTCCAATAGATGCCATATTGTCCGTTGCTTGCCTCACACTTTTGGATTGTGCAGCTTGGGACTGGCGCATACAAGCTAGCTCAAGAAACACGGAGTCATTTAAGACTCCAATCGGACTCCAATCATTTCCCCTTTCTCCATGTTTGTTTGGTTACTTGCCTCCAGTTTCCCAAACCAATGGATGGCTGCCATTCGCTCATGTCATGGATTGCGGTCTCGTAGGTCACAGTAGGTGGAAAGCCATTACGGTTAATTGCTATTGGTTTCCTTTGAAAACAATGGTCCGAGGCCAACCTGTCAGACAGCTCCGGAGCTTGGATGGCCGACGTGAAGGATGCCACCAAGGCCTCCCAGTGGATTTCCCTCAGCTGTCCATTTGACTGATGGGTCCAGGTCTGGAGAAAACGGTTGTCACAGTGGTCGCCAGGACGTCGATGTCCAGCTGGTCTTCAACAATGCTGGCTTCATCGTCACAGGCGTTGGACGGTCCGGGTGTCGGCGACGGGGGTCGCTCAGGTCGCGACGGATCCGGTGCTGGACGCCCTTCGTCCGGACTATTCCGGACTTCTCGATGTGATAATTTGTGTGTGGCTTCTGCGACTGAGCCATATTGGAAGGCTTCTTCGAGCAGCATCCGGTGGAGACACACTTGGCCAACTTCCACTGCAACCTCACTGCCAACATCCACCTCACTCACCACTTCTACAGCCACATGATCAACAAGGCATTGGACATGATGTGACAACATGTGACAACAAGGCATGCGAAAAGACTCTTTGTTTAAATCCGCACCACGGGGCCGCATTTTGGATGTGTTTGGAATTGAGCCGGGAGTTCTGAGAGGTACAACTCCAAAATTTGCCCCAATGAATTGGGAGGGATTCGACTAGGCACAGAGAGCTTACCGCCAAAGGTGCTTTGCTTCGTATGCATTTCTACTCCAGGGCCTCAAGGGATGCATAGTATTTACATCGTCTTCAGCGGGCTTTATCCCGAACCCCTTCGCTGCTATGCTCTTCGTGCAGCAAGAGGGCGAGAAACGAAGTGTACGCTGTGACAGCGCTTTCAGGTGTTTTACGGACAGGAACGCAATGTGCACCTGACCCACCATGCCAATTGAGGTTGGCATCCATGCATTGAAATATGTTGAAATACTTGAAAAGCAATTCCAGTAGATTCCATGGGGGTTGTTATGAAATGTTATGGATGTGTGTGGATCCCATTTTTTGCGCGAGAGTTCGACCTCGCTTCCTAAGGTATGGCTGCACAAAGTCTGGTGTGTCCGTTTCTAAATGGCATTTAGACGAAGATGGTAGGCCTTATTGTATATAGGGATCGTTGAGAGAGGTGGAGTTTGGACAACTTCGCGTCTTGCTGATTGCGTTGCCGGCCTAAGAACTCTACTAAAGAAGAAGCACTTTTCCACCTGTAATGTCCTGTTCCGCCTTCTAGATCGAATTGGACGCACGTGCAATTGAGGAGCTTGCTGCCAGCCTCGCAGTAGAGGGAAAAGCTCGGGGCGTGGATGTGCATGCAGTGCATCCAAGTCCTGCAGCTTGGCGCGCATCACTCCGAAGAAGAACCCCTGGTTGGAACTGGTTCCCAAGTAAACGGATCCTTTCAAAAGAAGAGAGCATCACTTGCCGGCCCGGGAATGAAAGCGGCTGTCTTAGAGTCACAAAGTCGACCGGGGAGAATACTGATTAGATATAGAGCCTCATTTGGTTCGCATACTATACTATACCCATATATACCCGTGATTATCACGGTCCTTGATTCTCAATGAGCTCATTTTTTATAACTGTGGAAAGCTTCCTGTGATTGCAATATGCGTTGCCATGCCCAGCACTGCAGGTCAACTCTCGGTTTACCGCCGGAGGTGGAAATGATGTCAAAGTGCACAAGATGAATATGCACCTTGACCCTGTGGAAGCAGAGCCTACCAAAAGAACGAAAGGAACGCACCAGGACCACAGCACTGCATGCGACCGCATGGCCTGCCAATGGCACCCGGTGGTCCCCTCTCAGGTTTGAAATGGCTTACAAGATGGCCACGGGTCCGGAAGTGCTTCCTGACCAGATCTTTGCAGCTGTGGGTCGCTCTCCCGTGTCGTGGCGCAAGGACTAACAGGTCCCATTCTGTGAGGGTTGATGTCGGGCGGTCAAAGTTCGTAGGCAAATAAAACCGAAGATCTCGAAGAAAGAGCAAATAAGTAATATATCTAATAAGCATAATTACATACATATTTACATTGATTTCAAGGTGATGATTGACTTGGGCGGAACCTCCGTTGGCATGCGGCAGCTTGGCGTATATTGGATAAACTGGTTTTGCTAAGTGAATTGGCTCGCAGTAGGTTTGATTTGTTGAGCAAGCTGCTCACATCCAGTCACTCGATCATAGCCCTATTGAATTGCAGAATGTGTTCTGTTTTCTTTACAATATCCTGCTCGTTTGCTATGCAAGCATTCCAGCTGTTGCAAGGTGCCTCATTTAAGCAACATTATGAAGAGTTGTGGTCTTTGCTTGACTGGCTTTCAACGTGTTCTATTAAACATATAGTGTATGAGTGCATGTGTATAAATATATTCGCAGACGCACCGCGCAGAGTGCTACAGTAAGCGAATTGGTATTGTATTTGGATGTATTTGGGCTCCAGTTTAGCTGGCACAGCTTTCTCCTTTGTGCACGATGGC